CGCGATAAAGTTCTTCTGTGACAGACAAAATTTCACGCGGGTGAAGCCTTGGGCAAGGGCCAGTATGAAATGTCTACGGAATCCTGAAGCTATTTACATTATCAGCCCCAAAACGCTAAAGTAATGGTTCATTAAACGCGTAATTAAAAATAAAGAAAAACTTTAAAACGGAAAGGCATTATCTAATGATGTTAATTAACTCTTGCAGCGGGGTGAACGACTACGTGATCGCATGGACATAATGTTTACAACAAAATTACCGATTCGGCGAAGCGCTATCGCATAAAAGTCTTCATTTTCATTACACCCTCCCTAAATAGTTATAAGGAAGTTTGTTATTTGGCTGTCAGTCAGCTTTTAAAAGCCGAACAACAAAGTTAAAACGAAGTAATTAAAAAAGAAAACACAAAATACTTACAAAGTCGGAAGCTCGGCTCTCTTCACTTAAATTACTTGCGATTACACCGACAAAACGTTTAATGAAACACGTAAAATCGCGCGAAGTGGTCTGCGCGGAGTCACGCCACACGCCACGGACGCGTTGCGGACGCGCCACGCTCTCGTATACGGTGCCAATAGGGACAGTCAATTTTTGTGACAAATGACATCGAATGACATTGACACCTATCTATATAGTGTTAAATTATAACTAACTCAAAGTTGATATTAAAACAGTTTAATCTTGTTTTGAAACGACATTTTTTTAATCTATTACATTTACAAAACTTTCAATGTCCATTGACGCAGACTATCCTACTAGACACTACTAATATCAATATTGTGAAAATTTGTGAAAATGTTTGTTACTCTTTCATACAAAAACTACTGAAAAGATTTTGATGAAACTCTACATTATTTATTGCTAATTATTAAAGATCTAAGACAAACTAAATTTGACGCGGGCAGGCCGCGGCAAAAGCTAGTATACCCATAGTTCGGTAACTTCCCCACTTACTGCGGTGGGTGGTAGTTTTTCCTCAAATATCTTAGCCGTAAGGAGAGTTGGAACTACTTCCCCAAAGTCCATTAAAGAGTATAAACTCACGCCGCGTGATTACAAATGCCACCGATTTTGGCTGTTCCGAGGCCGATTTAAGCTTTTTAATTGAAATTACGACGGTTAAACTTTGGACAAACATTCCAGAAGTGCACGTAAACCTTTTGAAGTGGCTCCAGCTAGGTGGGCAAATCGCTGGAGTCATGCTCAATATATTTGACCTACAGGAAAGTCTACTGGAATTATTGTTTAGTGCCAAAGAGATCCAACTTGAACCTTTGTTCAAACTTTGTTCAATTCTTGATTCCTTATTACAAACTGCCATCACCTATTCACCCCTGAAAATCATTCTACGCGACAAAAAGTGCGCAATGTCCTTCTTCTTTTTCTTCTACCTACCTATTTTTTTCGACAAAAAGTACCTCGTCTCTCTTCTCGTCTCGTCTTTCTTCTTCTTCTTTGTCTACCAATTATAATTGAACGAAGAGAAGGTAACAAACAAAGTTATTTTAGAGACAAATTTTCAAACAATATCCTAGTTGTAATACAAAATTAAAATGAGGATCCCAAGAAACCACTGGTATTAAATTGAGCATAGGTATTTCATACCGAGGTTAGCTCCATATAAATATGTAGCCGGGAAACGGTGACGCTTGCGTTCCGCCGTGTCTGGCGGAAGCCACGTCAATTAACTTCGCCAAGATGACATATTGGCCTTTGTTCTCCGCTACCGTTCCCACAACCACCCAAGAAATTACACTGCACGTTTAAAAGCATTTAAAATATCACCCACCGTTAAACGTTCAACTACACTCCGCGTTTAACAACTTTAAAGAAAAATTCAATATCGTCCGGTGTCATCTGCCAGTAACTAGACAATTAAATGCTGATTCAATCCCAAATTAAATAGATCCACTGCGAAAATACAAAGTTTAGTGACTGTCAATGTCAAACAAAGAAGATGAAAAAAGTTTTTCTTCCAATTCCATTTTCTTTCACGATTCCTCTTTCACAGTCTCTAAAAGTTTTCAAAATAAGAGGTTTTCGCGAGAGTCTCAATTATCGATAAAGACGATATTAAAAATTCGTTTGTTTTGTTCTTAGCTTGCGCCGGGAGAGCGGTGTCCCCTTTTTTTTCCATTGTTTGCGTAAGAAGGGAAAGCAGAAGCGGCAACAAACGATAATCAGAAATTTGAATTTCGCCCCCGCAAGTACTGACAAAATCATCCGATTTTGTGCGTCGTTTATCATCGCAATTAATTAGACGAACAAAAAACTTATTATCTCCGTTCCCAGGGAATTGTTTATGTCAGCGAACAGTTGGGAGTTAATGTAAACTTTGCTTTTTTGGTGGCTAAATGAATTAATTTTGTTCACCTGGCCAGGTGTCGGTCGAAAATCGTTTTGGTTATCGTGGGCGGATCTATAGGGTCGTCATTTACATACATAGTTGCCGTTGGGTGATGAAGGAGCATGGTCTAAATTTATTCGTGAGCATTACAGTGTAACATGTAGGAGCAGTGCCCCTTAATGTATTCATGTAATTCGCGTAGCCGGATCCCCTTTGACCGCCACGCAACGCCGCACTGGCCGCCGGATAGAGTAATATGACGTGATGCTTTAAAGCCATCCATCACATTTAATGTCCATAAAAAGAAGGAGGTAGCGTGCCGACTCTTTCCGCGGATTTTGTGACGCGCAAATGTAATAATTCGTGAATTTTTTCGCATCAATATGAGCTTTGCAATGCAAATAAAATCTGTATATACTGTTTAGTATTCAACGATTCAAATACAAAAGCGAGTGCTTCCTAACTACCAGTGGCGGGTTAAATAAAACCTCAAGTATCAGCTACTTGACTGTAAAAACGGCACGAAGCGGTCGCCCGACCGAGTCGGCTGTCTCCAATTTACATTGAATGCGGTACACTGAGACTGGTGATAACTTACACATACCGCGCCACAACAGAGCTGAAAGCAATTTTTGAGATAAAAGAGTTTCATATGACAAACACGAGCTCAGTTTCCACGTTTGTTTTGTTGCAGTTTGCTCTGCTAATCTAGGTTACGTGTAATGCGAAGCTTTGTTTGTAATGACTGGGCGTAATTGAAAAACTGAAGTTCAGTTACCTTGAAACAGTATTAATAATTTCAAAGGACCTAGTTGTGTTTTGGTTAAGCATAAATCAGCTTAGCATTTCATTTTGCAGAGGCATTTTTAAATTTTTATCTCTGGACTGGTTTTCAAATAGGTAAAGCACTCAAAAACGGGATCCGTATATAAATTTGCACGGTCGACCGCACATCAGACTTAGCATTTTCGATGCAAAATATCATCTATTATAGCTGCATAAGATGCCAGTTAGCTTGATGTACCGTCTGTACTAAACACTGAGAATGTAGCGGGAGTTTGCCAAGCCAGACTGATACCAAACTTTCGAGTAATAATAGTAATGACGTACGTAAGCCTTGTCAGTTTAGCTGCAACTGTATTTCTGGCTGAGTTTGATACAGTTGTCAAGGGTGAGAAGGGTTCCCCAGCCATTGAAATATGGAATACTTTGTTAGTGCTGGATAATGATAAGTAGGGTTATAGAAATACGGGCTACACAAATTGGAATTTAATTTTAAAACAAATGTGTAATTTGTCTCAACTTCGATATATTATTCTAGACCGGCTGCGTTGTTGTTTACCTTTTGTGCTAAAAGGAACTTCTAAGAATGAAAATCCCTACAAGTCTGTCGTTAACAAATCATCATAGGAATCTAGATTTGGAATATGTATTTATTTTCTAAGAAAACCAACAGCGTTTTTCTGAGATTAAAATTATAGCTAAAACATATCCAAAATCATGGCAAATAACAATCAGGTTTTCCTTGCTTAACAAATAGTAGATACTTACTTTGTTGATGGAGAAACAAGGTAAAAATGGTCACTCAGACAAAGCCAAACATAAGCCATCGTTAGTTTTTTTATTTAATCGCTAAAAATATTTTACAGTTGTGACATTATCCTACTATTAATCTGTGAAAAAATACTTCATTCATCTATCCATTGACTCTACTGGGTACTTACTTACTTATGCCTAAAAGCGAGTTCAACCTTTAAATAAACCTTAAAAACGTTGCAGTTAAAATACAAAATGAAATATTAAGTCTGCAAGCACACTAGAACAATCCCCCACTAGAAGTCGTAATACAGGGGCTGATTGTCCAACTCACTCGCGAGTGAAACCCCACATTTGGTTGCGAATTCAAAATTATTGTCTACGAACATTTTCTGCGGTTTTTGACGTGTTCGCTTTGAGACGAATTTGAAACTATGCTACGTAATGAAATACCGTACGTGGTGATGATCTACCAAACTAAGTTGGCGTAACTATGTAATGTTGGTGGTTACAATAATTAACGCAAATCTATACTAATATTATATTATAAAGAGGTAGTATTTGTTAAATTGTAAGGGGTAATCTCGGAATTTACTAAACCAATTTTAAAAATTCTTTCACCAATAGAAAGTCACATTATTGCTGAGTGTCATAGATATGGGCGACGGTAATCACTTACCATCAGGTGATCCGTCTGCTCGTTTGCCTCCTATCACAATCCGAAAAATTCCACGCCGGCGAAGCCGTGGGCGGAAAGCTAGTCTTCTATAAATAAAAGCGAAATACCACTCACTGATTATATCACGAAATTTCAGAAACTATAACACCTACAAACTTGTAGGTAGGTCCCTTATAGGGTATAGGTAGAAATCCGCTAAGGACGGAATTTATGAAACTCTACCCCTAAGGGGGTAAAACGGGGTCCACGCGTATGAAGTCGCGGGCACAGCTAGTGAGGTATATCTTTTAGACCTCTATGATGGCAATAGGTAGGTACTTACACAAATTTCAAATTGCCTAGAACTGAATACGTTTATGTTACTTTTACCACACTTTACCATAGAAATAGAAATTCATTTGACTCTAATAAACTTTTCGAAAATCTAGGTTCTCAATTTACTTCAAAAACTAGAACAAGAGTCATTGACATGATTTATCAACCGAAAAAACTTTCAGTTGGAAGCCATAACCGAAGAAACATAATCCCAATTCTACAGTAACAAGATACATTCAATATTTCTTTATTAAATAAACGTATGGTAGGAAATGGACTTAATAGCTTGTAATACAATTCAATCACTATAAGATCTAGGATACGGCCGCCCCAGATCACTGCCCGCATACAAAATTATTAGCCCTCACTTATTTATGCATCGTGGGCCAACATCTTAATAGCCACGGAGAGTTATGTTTATCCTAAAATAATATTTTGTGTAAATGTTTGAAAATACACAAACCGCGTTGAAGCGGTGTGCTTTAGCGTCACAATATGTCGTAAGTCCGTAGACCGCGCCGTTTTGTGGCGATTTAAATGTTAAAATGAGTTATTACGAGGGTTTCGTATTCAATTTACGTCTAAGTTTAATGAATGCTTACCTTTGGATGTGCTCTTCTAGGGAAGGCCACTTTGGGGTCAATCTGAAATGAAAGATAGTCGTAATTAGACAAGATGAAGTGTTGCATTTAATATTTTGTTTACGAATAAAGGTGTATTTTGGTATGTAATATTGTGTGGAGCAGTAGCTCCACCTACGTAGAGTTAACATAACTATTTTTTCTGGACTTTGTGTGGATTTTTCACTTAGAATCTGAATATGTTCTACTTAAATTTGTCTTTTTCATTCAATATTTTCCTGATAAAGTGAGCCTAATTTGCGATCTGTGACATTTACACGACTGAAAATTAGTTAAATTTTCGATTTATTAAAAAATTGGATTTCCCCCAATTTCTTCTCATAAAAGGATATTTCCAAACGAGCGTTTTTGTTCTTTTTCATTTTAAATGGCCAGCTATGGTATAAGACCATAGTAAGAAAGGCAGTATTTTTTATGCATTTTAGTTTTTTAATTTTCAATATGTTAGCTTTACATGCCAGCCAAAGAGTACCGATAAGACTAACATTTACAAGCTCCAAGCCCCTCACTTGGAGCTCACCATCCGCGCTATCTATCGCACGCTCTAAAAATCGCTCAGGCGGATCCTGCCCAACTAATCATGGACCGCACGTCCGCCATAGAAGCGGCCACGATAAATTCGCATCGCCGTGCGGCTGCGATGTCCAGTCCTAAAATCCCAGCTGCAAAAAACCATCGGACTGAAAATCCTACGCCGTGGTCCCGTCACTCGATTTCGCCTCCCGTCTTTTTCATGTAACCGAGCACCACTATTTCATACGTGCGACTGTTTAAGCCCTCAGATTTTCTCGCAGCAGCGAGCGAACGCCGGACTTTTTGTTCGTACCACGACGCGCCGTTGACCGCTATAAACGCAAAATATAAACCCAAAGAAGCTACCTTTGACATTTTAAAGGTAAAACGTTCGCTCGCGTTGGGCGTTTGTCGATTTCTGCATTTTAGAGTATAATTCTCGTTTTTTCAGCCGTGTCGTGGACGGTTAAGCGCTTTGTTAACGGGATACGTTTCATTCAGTTTATTAACTGTAGACATGTCAGAGAGTCAGGAACACCAACCGCAGTCGGAATGTGATCGTTTGTGTTTTGTTTTTTGCGTCGTGGTATTCGCTGTTTGAAAGGGTTGATTAAGGCAACAACTCAACATTGATGACGTAATGGATAACATTCTGACATAGAGACATGTGAATATAGATTGCACTTTTTGATTCAAATCCTCCCAGTTCACCTAATGTAATTCAAACCCACTAGATCACAGCTGTATATACCAGTACCGTGTGTGTTGTTATATTAAATGAAACAAATTGTAAATTTAAAAATTATCAACTCCGCTGAACATAAAAGCCAAACGGTTTACCATAGTAATTTAAAACTGAGTCCACCGTTATTAATTACTCTGTGCTCAAACTGCAGCGCCCAGTAATTTTCCAGGGAAATTTTTCAGGTTTTAAAAAAGTTGGTAACAAATTTTCCAAAAGTTCTTTTCATATAAAACACAACACAATAGATGCGCGACTCGTAGGCATCCACGTCGAGTAATTACGAAGCAAAAGCGTGAGAGAATAATTTAAAAGATTTCGCCCAAGAGGACTGCATTATTACAATATCAGGAAAACGGCTTTACAGCGTCATTCATACATTCTTAATTATTTAATTATCTTCAGAGTGCGCCACGGAATACCGCGGCTGCAGAAAATCCAGCATAATTTGATTAAATTGGATTTTCTACGGCGAATTCATTTTTCCGTTGAAGTAATGATTGTTAGACGCTTTGTTAATGAATATAAAGTTGATTTTTGTGGTAAATAAATGCTAAAAATAAGCAACAATGCTTATTCTCTCAACTTTTAGTCCTTACATTGAGAGTTTCGAATTAATTGTTACCTACTTAGGGGAGGCCTATGTTCAGCAGTGGACGTCCTATGGCTGAAATGATGATGATGATGATGATGTTACCTACTTATGAGCAAGATTTACTTTATAATAATATATTTTTCTGTATTCTTTTATTTACTTTTTACCTTTAAAACTTTACAATCAGTCTAAATTCATCTTACGTAGTTTATGACATATTTTTTTTGTAGGTAGGTAACAAGTGATATAAAACTGTAGCTAAATCATTTTCGGAATGACATTAACCATTAATTTCCCAGCCAAGGTGTGGCTTTAATCGTTCCACGCAAGCGATTTTGTGATCGCTGTAAAATGACCGCCAAAGTATATACAGAGCAAGCAGAAAAATCATAAAACCCCAGATGGTGGCGCCAAACCGATTAAGCGGGGCGAAGATAAATTTTAACGAGTTATTTTAACGCTGGCGATCGCACTCAGTGGCCTACGCAGCTTGTGTCGATAGAAAAAATAAAACGAAACTCACCAAAACTCTGTTTAAATACGTGACTCCGTGATTTTTTTTATTGCCGAATGTTTCGCGAAGTTTTAATGATAATGGCTTTTACAAACAGTCTTTCTAAAGTCGGGGGATTTATTTAAATGTCTAGTTCAGGGGTGGATTAGCATACCATGCAAGTTTTAGTGTTTTTATTGGTCATTAGCTCATTAAATCTTTGTTTATGGATACTGTGAAATGTAAGTAGGTATTTTATTGACGCACAAATGAAATGGTAAATCTTATTGGACTTTCAATAAAAAATATCGCATATGGAAATTATTTTTAGGAAATCAATGATGTAGGTAAAATAAATTCCAGATACAAGGATGTAAAATTAAAATTCGGAAGTTTAATAAAATGGTCAAACATTTTCAGAGAAGCGAAAGTAAAAAAAAATAAACATTTCATTTACACCTATTTTGAACTGGTCGGAGTATATCAGATTCTACATATTTATTGCATAATATTTACCTACTAAAATAGCTTCGACTCTCGGAAACCCAAATAGGTTAAAAAATATGTACCTAACACATAAAATATTTCTTTGTAGGCATAAATTTGTGAAGGTATACTAACTATATCTATGGAACTACTGACTCTAATCTGATAATACCTCCACTGATTGGAAGCTACACTTCCCAAGTGTCGTAGCCTTTTTGTTTCGGGAAAGTCCCTCTCCCAGGGGATAATTTTTTCGGTGACAGAACAGATATTCTATCAGGAAGCCGCAGGGAACGCAAATAAATGTGTAACATTTAAAACCATTAAGTAGGTATATTTGTTGAAAGTATTTTTAGTGTAATTGTTGTGAAAAGCAGGTTTGGGGTATATTGACAGCGCGGTTGCAGGAAAATAAAGCGAATAATTATTAAAATAAGCTAGCGTTATGTCTAAAATGTGCTTAAATAAAACCAAAAGGTAATCAAAAAGTATAAACGAGCTATACTTACTTACTCGTAGAAAGATTGGTCCACCTATCAGTGCCAAACAGTCATAGTAACAAATATTCAAAAGTTTGTAAAATGAAATGGAATGGACCTAATAAAATTTGGCATTGAACCGAAGAAAAGAGTATACTCCTGCGCAAAAATGACAGCAAAACATCGATAGCAACGTGACATTTTGATATGGAGCCATTTGCGTGATTACAATCGACGCAGTGGCGCACCCTCCTTAGTCGCGTTCGCCCTCCCCATCCTACAACTTCCCTTACGATAAAGATTGACATCGCCGCTTTTAAATTTCAAATTATCCTAAGTCAAACACCACAACACAAACCAAACTCCACCACCCCACCTACGAAATACGAACCATTTTCTTTCAACCGACCCGCGAATTTTAGCGTGTCATCGCAAGAAAAGATTGTAGGCGAAATCACATTAGTGGGATATCACTACTGGTTGGAAAGAGCATGTTCGCTTTATGTATTCGAAGCGATGGCATCGACGTAAAGTCGATTACGTTAAATTTTATATTAAGCAAACAGTCAATACCGGTGCTATACGTCTTTAAAGCGGCCTTGACTTGAACACGATAGTTTATGCTCTCCTTACTAATGCAGTTTACATTTTGTATACTACAGTGTAACCTATATTCCGGTAAGATATGAGTGACTTTACTTATGCCGAAACAGTAACAAGAAAACTTTGTTTTTCAAAGATACTTCGCAAGATATTTCCAAATGTATTTCAATGGTAAAACTTCAAATAAATTTAGAATACCCAGTTGGCAGGCACACACATGGGTGAGATTTTGTTTTTATGAAACTAAAACTATTACAAACTTATATCGCAAATGGTAATATCCAAGTTATTTCGTTATGATAGAAAATTGTTGCTGTTATTCCAATATCATTTGCAAATCGAAGTTGGTGGACTTAGATCTTTGACTAAATAATATTGATATTGAATTCATTAAATTAAACAAACCTTAAGCTAATACTTCGCAATGCGAGAATATCAAGCACGTGGAAGGAATTACAAATCATATTCCAAATTTTAGTGCGACGGTATAGAAACGACAAAGCAATACCGCTCCCCCGCACACAATACCCACGTAATTAAATTTGCACATGCAATTTTGATTGCGAGAACGTTGCTTAAATGCCAATAAAATACAACCCGGTTCACAGGAGGACAAGAAAGTTTAATGACGTGCACTCACTGCAAGCGGTAACTAAATTTATTTACGTGTAGACGAAACGTAAGTGTCGCCGGGCGTTAAGTGGGACCGCATCATTTGCTGTTCACTCAGCAACGCTCTCTAACTCCTCCTAATTGGAACGAATTTGGCTGCAGGTGCAACACTCGAGTTGGCTCAAGATTAGGGCGAGCTATTGCGAGCATATTCCAGCCCGTTCCCCTTGAAATATTCGATGTGCAACGCGCGACTGCGGCCGCCGCGCGCCGTCATCCACGTGCGCTCCCACTAACTTGAATTAAATTAAGAACAATATTTACCCGCGCTGAGATAAATGATATTGCACACTTACGCCAGACTTAATGTTAAGTGACGACTTATGTGCCCACATTCTTAGCGACTACGGCGCGAGCGAGACAGTATACACGCCGCTTATTAAACTCGAAAGGGATGACGCTACAGAAAAAATTTTAACG